ATGGAGAAGAGACTGATGTTAACAATTGCAGCTTGTGTGGCTCAATAGTTACTACCCTTGGCACTAGCAGTTAAGAAATCAAAAGACTAATTGCTCTGGGGAAAGTTGCTTTCAGGGACCTCTTATATAAGTGCTTAAAAGCAACAATGTTCATCTGGAAACTAAGGTGAACTTGATTCAGGCCACGGTTTTTGCAATTATTTGATATGCATCAGAGCACTGGACAATGACCAAAGATGACAGAAGATTTGATGCCTTTGAGTTATGTACTGTAGAAGAGTATTGAACTTACCATGGACTGACAAAAGAACAAACAGGTTTATCCCAGAGAGATTAAAAACAGGCTGAAAACTTGGAATGGAAACTTGGAGGCAAGGATTTTGAAGCTCCAATTCATATATGTTGGGCATGTTGCCAAGAGGGACCAGTCCTTGGAGGAGGACATCATGCTTTGAAAGATGGAGGGACAGCACAGCAGGGGACGTCCCTGGAGGAGGTGCACTGACATAGTAGCTGGGATTAAAGGGGTAGCTGTGTGGGTGACAGTAGGATTGGCTCAGGATAGAGAAGAGTTCAGAGCTATTGTACACAGGGTCACTATGAATCACAGGTGACTCAATAGCATGTAAAAACAATCACCTACCATATAGGGGAGCATGCTTGTAAGGAGGTTTTCTACCAAACCAAAGAAAAGTAGCTAGAACCTGCCAGCCACACCAGAGAGATGGGTGAACTCTTTTCATGAGACTAACTGCCTCTGAAAAACAACTGGAAGGAAAACTGTAGGTTAGTTCTGACTTAATGATTCACAGCAACCATACAGAGAACTCTGGTAGCCTAGTAGGTAAGGAGCTGAGCTGTCAATGCAAAGGCAGGCTTGAATCTGTCAATCACAACTTGGAAAGAGATGGGAAATCTCCTCCCATGGTATTTACAGCCTCAGAAAATTTGCAGGAGAGTTAGCTTTGAGTTAGTTTTAACTAGATAGCACATAACAATATTTTTTTTTTTAAAAAAAAGCCAACCCACACAAAAACAAAAAAGAAACAACCACACACCTATCAAATGTCAGGTGTGATAGCCAGTTAGGATGGAATTAGGGGTACAATCATCAAGGTGATTCATAACCCTTGGATCAAATAATATGGCATGAATATTGCCTCCAATATAGTGTGATAATGCTCTGGTGAAGGAAATAGAGAGGACATGAAATTTGGAAAAAAGAATTCAAGTCAGGGCTAAGCTGGATGGAGCTGAGAACAAAGATAGTCCAGAATATACCAGCTGCTATTGAGGTGATTCTGACTCATGATGACTTCACTTGCATTAGAGTAGAACTGTGTGCCATAAAGCTTATAATGACTTTTTCTAAAGTACAATGCTATGTCTTTCTTTTGAGGCACCTTTATTTTCTGCAGCCATGAACTGACAAACTTGTGATTAGTAGTTAAGGAGATTGACCATCTGCATCCTTGAAAAACTTTTTCCTAGAGGCAAGATACATTCAAGCTGTAGCTGGAAGATTTCATTACTTGAAGGTCATTATGCTGTGGGAAGAGGTAATCCTTCCATTTTCTTTTAGAAGGAAGAGGACAACTTGGAGGAAGAAAGAAGTAAATCAAACAAGAAGTAAGAGACCGTATTTAGTTTGAACATCCAAAGCATAATTAGAAGGTTGAGATAAAATGGGACCAAACGACAGAAAAACTTTTAGGATATATTGCTGAATATGGACTTGATTCATAGGTTTCTAGGGAGTTATCAAAGGATTGTTTACCTAACGGAGTAAGAGACTGCATGTGCGCAGTGGAAAGATTTTGGAGTAACGGGATCATTGTTTAGTAACTAAAGTTGTCAATATCTCCCTGCTCACACTTCCTCAATCAAAAACTACCAAAACAGTGAAAATAAAAAAGAAACCAACACAAAATCTAAAAAAACAAACTCACTGTTTTTGATTAACTCAATTCTGACAGAAAATAACTTTCCATTGGTTTTCTGAGGCTGTAAATCTTAATGAGAGGAGACTGCCTCCTCTCTCCCAGTTTAAGGTAGATGAGTGTAAACTGCTTACATTTCAGTTAGCAGTCCAACACTTAGCCTATTACACACCAGTCTTGGCAGAAAGCAGAGAGTACCAGAAGAGTTTCTATCTGTGTTTCATTGACTATGCAAAGGCATTTGTGTAGTTCACAAAATTGTGGCTAACCTTGAGGAAAATGGGAATCTCAGAACACTTGACCTGTACTTGACCAAGAAGCAGTCCTCAGAACAGAGCAAGGAAACACTGCATTGTTCAAAATCAGGAAAGGAGTGTGTCAGGGATGCATCCTGTCCCAGAACCTATTCAATCTGTATGCAGAACAGGTTATTTGGGAAGCAGAGATTTATGAAGAGGGGTGTGGCATTAGGATTGGAGGAAGACTCATCAAAAACCTAAGATATGCAGATGACACAACAGTGCTTCCTGAAACTGAGGAGGACCTGAAGCACTTGCTTCAAAAGGTTAAGGACTGTGGTCTTCAATATGGATTGAAGCTCAACATCAGGAAGACAAAGATTCTCAGGTTGCTTGGAATCACAATCAACACTCTTAATAGCAGCAGTCAGGAAATCAAAAGACAAATTGCATTGGGGAAATATGCTGTCATGGACCTCTCCAGAGTGCTGAAGAGCAACGATGTCAGTTTAAATACAAAGGTGCATGTTATCCAGGCCATGTTGCTGTTGTTGTTGTTGTTGTTGTTGTTAGGTGCTGTCGGATGGTAGACGACTTATAGCGACTCTTTGAATGAAAGGCCTGAGCACTGTTCGTACATAAAGTTTCTGGAGGCAAGCCATTTCGCTATAGTCTTCTCAGTTACTTGTTATGCTTCACAGCGTTGGACAATGACTAAGGATGACAGAAGACGAATAGAAGCCTTCGAGTTGTGGTGCTGGAGAAGAGTCTTGAACATACCATGAACTGCCAAAAAACAAATTGGTTTGTCTTGGAGAAGGTGAAACCAAATCTCTCCTTGAAGGCTAGGATTTTGAAGCTCTGCCTCACTTACTTTTGGCATGTGGGCAGGAGAGATTGGTCCTTGGGGAAGGACATCATACTCGGAATGGAGGACAGATAGGGCAGGAGAAGGAGCCCCCAGATGAGATGGATTGATACAGTAACTGAGGTGATAGGGGTTACTGTGTTGAAGTTAGTGAGACTGGCTCAGGACAAGAAAGGGTTCAGAGCTGTTGTACACAGGGTTGCTATACATCACAGGCAACTCAACGACATATAAATACAATAACATACTATGACAGGTTTGGAAGGAGGAGTGGTATCCACTTCCTAAATAACATGCCTCTGGAAACTCTATGAACTTTGATAAATACCAATAGTTGTAGAGGGGCTTCAGGCCATTTGTTCATAGGGTCGCTATGAGGCATGCTCAATCCAAAGGCCATCAACAACAACAACCCTGGTTAAATCAGTTAATATAACCGTGTAGAGTTGCCTAAAGAATCAGAGGTAATTACCAGGACAGTATCAAAAAAATAGATGGTATGAAACGTATATAGAGAAGGATTAGCCATGAGTTAAGAGAAAAAGAAAGAGTATAATGCAAACCAAAGATAATTAGAAAAATGGTTTAAGAAGGAGGTAAGATCTTAAGAGCAGAAACAGTATATACTGCTCAATCATGTGGCGACGCTATCATACTGTGTTTTAGAGAAATTCAATAAATATTACTAAATAAATGATTTAATTTTTAAACACTAACACAGATCATGCCGAGTTCTGAGATGATATAAAAAGAACACATACTCTATCTTCAAGAAGCTAAGAGAAGAGTAATTGCAGAAAGACACATAATTGTCCCTTCGGTGTGGCAGCAAATAAAAGTACACCCCCCAAAAAAAATAAATCTCACATTAGTTCTGGTCCAGATAAAAATGTGATGGGAAATAATGAAAAAAGATAATAATTTCTATGTACCAAATTAAATAAAAACAAGGCCAACTAGAGAACGGACAAAAGGAATTTTGAAAATGTCAAGTGACTTAGTAATACCAGCTTCAGATATAACAAAATGGATGTGGCAGGCTGGAAATTGCTATTTCAATTGCTTTAATGATTTCAAGAAATGCAATACATTATCATAGTTTTGAATCTCATATACACAGCAATATTATATGTATGACAACAATCTGGAACAAGAGGTGGTGCATTGCAAAGTGGATTGGGGGATGGAGTTGGGAGGGGGAGGGAAGAAAATGATGAAAATTAAAGAATAAAATGTATTAAAAAGTAAAAATTCAGTGAGAGATTCACATACTTGAAATACAGTGACCTCTTTGTAGAATTCAGCTGTCTTGTTTTCTTTGCCACAGAAGACATTAACAAATTTAGGAATACTTTAAAAGTACTCTACAAAGAAGTGCACTTCAACAAGACTGTTCTGAAAAGCCCAGGGTGTGACCTCACTTCATTTGCAAATGCTAACAAGATTCAGCAACCCTTAAGCTCTTCTCCTGTAAGCATGCTCTGTTGGAGAAAACAATCAAATTGCTACATTGCTTAGCAACCACAGGTAAAGAGGTAATAAGTCATGAGTCACGATTCTTTGTGAACAATTTGCAGGTCAGTGGCTTGATTTCATTGCTGCTTGGATTTCTCCTGTGACATTTTCAAAACCAATATTGACACAAAGCATTACAATAGAGGGGCGTTAAAATGCAAATGCGCACATGATCGATTCCCTTGACATATACATAGTGTAATCTGGTACAATATGATGCATCAACCTGACAGTAGCATCTAAAAAAATCAACATCAGAGAAAAATAACATCCAAGCATGGATTTCTAAGGAATTTCTGTGTTTTATCAATTTAGTTAAACTAAAAGAGAAAGCACATTTAAATTTGTATGAAGGCAATGGTTCTAGCATTCATCAACACCATAGATAATCTGAGAAGGAGGAATGGTGAACGGGAAAATAGCTTTTTAAAACCTTACCTGCAGCCATTGGGACTGGTCATTGTGTCCAGAAGTCCAGGCATTCACTTTGCCTTGCTTGTCCAGCCTAGCCTTCCTTGGTTCCCAAGTGAACATGTCCATATTGAGAGTTCTGAAGATGCTGGAGGCAGTAATCTGATAGTCTTGTATGTGTCCTGATTTCATCCCTAGAGGCTCAGAACAGCCTGAAAGAAAATGAAAAGAGCTCCATGAGAAAAATAATTTATCACCCAGGAAATTGTCTGAGTTTGTTTTGTATTGGCAAGAGAAGATTAAGTATAAAGCTATTCATTTCCCCCCAAAGAGAAAGCAACTGAACTCACACAGCAAAGCTATAATCAGAAATAAATCTGGAACCAAATCAAGAAACAAGATAGCCAATTCAGGCAATTTTGTTGGAATACATATTGGAAAAATTGAAAATAAGACAATTCAAACAACTCATCTGTGATAGACGATTTTGCAAAATGAAAACAATACTGAAATGCTCTTCTGTCTCACGACTAGCAGTCTCATGACTGTTCTATGAATTTTAAGTTTCACAGTGTTGTTCTTGTTTTGTTTTTATTGGATATTTTCTCACAATCATACTTGGTTCTCTTGTATTTATTTAAACAAAACTGTAAATGACAATTATTTCTGTATATACTGCTATAAACTGCTCTACTGTTAAGATTCTAAGCAGCCTTTGTCCTCAAAGAAATGTCTGTTTATCTTTAGAAGGCAATCATATAGAACCACATGGCTGCTTCTGCAAGGTAGGAAAGTAATGTTTACTCATTATGCACCAGGTATTGGTGCAAATGTAGAGCTAACAGGCAAGATAATAAAACTTGTTGTGGACCACTGAGTTGGAACTGACTTATAGCTGGCCCTCCAACATGTTTTTAGAGGCAGTTAATGGCACTGGGGGAGATTGCTCATCTTTCTATTTTCAGGCAAACTTTAAATAAAATCTTCTCTTTAGATCTCATTGAATAGTTTATGTTGTCGTTAAGTGCTATTGAGTTGGCTCTGACTCTTAGTTATCCTATGTTCAACAGAAAGAAACCCTGCCCTAACCTTCACAATTCTTAGTCTCTGCTGTGCTTAAACCCATTGTCACACTAACCTGCCACACTGCTTAAACCCACTGTCACACTAACCTGCCAAACTAACCCTTTTTCTACTCTACTGATCTATATTTCTGAGAATGATATCGTTTTCCAAGGACTTGCCTTCTGATAACATGCCCAAATATTTGAGACAAAGTCTAGTTATATTTAAGGAGAACTCTGTGATTGCACATCTTCTAAGAGAGATTTAAAAATTCTTTTGCCAGTCTTTGGTACATTCAGAATTCTTTGCCAGCATCACAATTCAAAGGTATAAAGTATTTTTAGACTTCTATTCATTTTCCAATTTTTCCCAGGTATTGCTGTTTTTATTATTGTTTTGAGTTGACTGCAACTTATAATAACATTATAAACCGAGAGATCTAAACCTTGCCCTCTCCTGTGCTATCCTTAGAATCTCTTCCTTGCTGAAGATTTTTGTTAAAGTCATTATGTAAATTCATCTGGTGGAGGGCCTTCCTCTCTTTTGCTGACCTCTATTTCTCCCAGCATATCTTTTTTCCAACAACTGATCCCTCCTGACAATTTGCCTCAAGCATGTGAGATGAATTTTTGCCTTAGTTGGAGTACTCTTACCACTTCCTCAAAGACATGATTATTTGGTTTTTAGTAGTCTTTGTAATATTCAATAATCTATAGCTTTTCGCTACATTTTGGGATATTCTCTGCATTGGAAAAATCAGAAACCTCTCCAAAGTACTGAAAATCTCACCACATCCTCTCCAACATTTGTAACTTGCTGTCCTGTTAAACTGCTACTGGTGCTGGTGTAAGACCGTATCTCATTGTGGTTTTGATTTGCATCTCTCTTATTGGCAGTGATTTGGAGCATTTCTTTTAGTTTATTACATAAGTGATCCAAGATTATAAGGTACCATGAATAGATAGATGAATTTTATTTAAGTTATTTTGATTGGATAGCAGTTCTTTGAAGTGCAGATACTCTTGAAACAGTATAAATCACTACCACCTTAGTAAAGGCATAGAAAGAGCTCAGCAAGGAGTCGGATACTTGGAAAAGAAACAATTGTCCCAAGCATGACTGAGTACAAATTAGACGTGGGTAAAATAAGTGTTGGAAATGTCCTGACATTTTGTAGTCTCAGTTTTTAAGTCATAGGATGTTTTCAAGAAAGCAGAAATTCAGGTTTTCACCTCTACATCTTGCATTCTTCAAAATGAAACTGAAGAACCTATGCAACTCTAGCTTTTTTTAATTTTAAAACCACCAAGAACATTCCTAACCATTTTGATTTTGTACTAATGGTTTTTAATATTTGCTCCAAAGGTTAAGAATTAAAACTAATTTTTTTCTCTTTTTACATACTTTTTAAAAATGTCATCTTGTCTGTTGGCCATTTGAATATCTCCCTCTGTGAAAATGCTTTGTCTTTTATTTATTTTTTAACTGGATTATCAGACCTTTTTTGGAGGGGGAGGTCCAGGAGTATTCTATAAACTTTCATTATGAGACTTATTTGGGATGGTATTGCCAAATGTTCGTTCTCAGTCAGCAGGAACTCTTGGACTGTTGGTGGAATTGTACAATGGTAAAACCACTAGGGAAGGCAGTTTGGTGCTTCCTCAAAAAGCTGAGCATAGAGATTCTATATGACCTAGCTATTCCATTGCTTGGAATATACCCCAAGAAAATGAGAACTGAGGCTCAGACATTTGTACACCGATGTTCATAGCAGGATTATTCACTATCACAACAAAGTGGAAACAGCCAAGATGTCCAACCACAAACAAATGCATTGAGAAGTTGTGGTGCATTCCTACAACGGAATACTACACAGCACTCAGGACCAATGATTTTTTAAATTACTACCTAACTTGGCCTGCTATTTCAGAAATGGTCATGCACAATAGAACATACATAGACTAACAGAAAGGGCAACCTAAGTAGAACTTTCAAGTATGGAAATACAAAGGAGGAGAAACAGTTGTAAGCAGACCCTAGTGATTGGAACATGGAATGTGAGAACCATGAATGT